GACGAGTAGTGGCTAGTATATATGGAACCGACAATTTTGGTTGGTTCGCTTTTGGGAACAAGATTGGAAGCAATCGTAGCCCTTGATTTACAATTCAAAAATAGTGGCGCCTAGTGGAGAAACATTCTATCTTCAAAGTTAGAAATGGTGAACGTATTCTTCTTTGGCACCATCGATGGTTGGGGGACTCAATACGAAAAGAATGGTTTCCTGCTTTATTTCGAATTTCTTCTGCCCCTTTTATCTCAGTTCGTGAGGTTTGGGATTCATACTCTTCTTCTTGGAGAATTGAAACAAGAAGAAATCTTAAAGATGAAGAATTTGATGATTATTTAATACTCTTATCAAGTTTAAATTCAATTACCTTGCAAGAGGAGGAAGATCAGTTGACGTGGAGTTTGGAACCTTCGGGGTCTTTTTCGGTTGCTTCTTTATGCAAGCCTAGAAAGGTTTCTTTCTTAATGACCAATGATGAATGCTATAGGCTATGGCGGACAGGATGCCCAAAAGGTTAATATCCTTTATTGGATTCTTATTAACAAAAAAGTCAACACAACAAAAGTTCAAAAAAAATCACCACATATGCCTTTGCAACCATCCATTTGTGTGCTGTGTATGGCAGATTATGAGTTTCAAGTGCACACCTTCTTTTCTTGTCCATATGTAGCAGATTGTTGGCTCTACTTGCTGCATATGTTCAATATTTCTTAGGTAATGGATGCGGATGTTTCAAAGATTGTTACCCAGTTCATGTTCGGTCCTTTTTTACCTCCTAAAGCGAGCCTTCTTTGGATAAATGGTGTCAAAGCTATCATCTCGGAGATTTGGTTTGAGAGAAACCAAAGGATTTGTTAGGAAAAAAGAAGGCCTTCGGTAGAGTGCTTCAACTTGGCTATGTTTAAAGCGTCTCAATGATGTGCTCTATTCAATCTTTTTGCTCATTATTCTCCAAACATGATATATGTTAATTGGGGGCTTTCATTTTCCCTATTTAATTAACTCATATTCTGTCTTTTTATTTTTGCTATTTTAGATTATATCTTTTTACTTTATGTTTTTTCACTTTCTTGGGAGTTTGTATTTTTGAACATTTTATGTTCCTTTTCATCTATCAATGAAAAGTTCGTTTCTTGTAAAAAGAAAAAAATGTTATCAAATGGGTTCTCTTTGAAAACTGTTGAAAATAGTTATTCATTCATTTGTTTAGCTCATTGTTTGTCGAGGAAAAACAAGGTTTGGAGTCATAATCATGCCTTCATGAACAATTTGTTGAAATATAAGGTATTTTGAGGTTTTTGTTTGTAGAATTCAGGAAGATATAGATGCATAGAGGCAGTAGATAAATCCATCATGCTGTGGGAAAGCAGTGTGCCAAAGATCAATACACATCAACGATGCTGCAGCATCCAAGATACAGAATCTAGCAAATCTTACCGATCTGGAAACAGCTTTGCAACAAACAAAGGAAAAGATGTCGAGCATAGCTCAGCAATAATTAATATATATTTCCAACCTAGAGGCTGTAGGTTCGATCTCCCACACCCACATGTTGTACTTCAAAAAAAATGGAAAAGATTTTTTCCTTTTGTGAATAGAACACGATGATCATGTAATTAGGATAGAAAGGAAATAACAAAAAACGTAGAGGAGAGCAGAACTTAGAAAAGAGAGCGGTAAAAAACTAACGAAACAATGAAGGCGACTGAGAAACTTCGAACGACGGAGAAGTTGTTCATCTCACAGCTCACAAATATATCTATCATCGCAAAATTCAGACATTGAAGAATCTATTTTAGAGAGTTTTTTTATTGCAACTGTAAGTTGCTGAGAAGCAGTCTTGAATTAAAATTGTTGTGGGAAGAACTCCTGTTATCTTCATTTGTTTTCATAATGTTCTATTTCAGTTCAGTAATTTTTGTATCTTACAAGTAGCATGGATTGTAGCTAAGCCTCACAATGGTTTAACTAAACGGTAAACCTTTCCATTATGTTGTAACTTTGTTGAGTATGCTCTTTAATTAATCATATTTGATGTTCACTCAATTTGTTCGATTTATAAATGATTTCTTCTGGCTCATCAAATAAACCACTGATTAGTCTAAAAGCCGATAGGGAGAGGGTTAATTATTACTAATATCTAATCAATTATATTCTTAAAGTTTTCTCTCCCTCTCACACTGTCTAATTAATTAATAATTTTATCCCTAATTCTCTAAAACTTAGCATACTAAGTATACTATTTTCAAACAAAAATAAGATTATATTTCATAAATTTTGTTTTTTCAATTTTTTTTTATTTATGAACTAAAAAACTAGCATACTCTTTTTATTCATTAACTAAACCATCAATTAATGAATCTCCAAGCTCAAATGATACATAGATGTCATTTACTGCTAATTAAATTTTATGAAAGTTATGCTCATATAATTAACCATGTTGGCATATTGTCTAGAGATTACTTGAGTACTTCCATTAACATCCTTCTTGTTTTGTATGTCATTGTGAGAAATTAACGCGCTCCAAACAATTTCCCCTTCCATAGTTATATCTAGAAAAATCACAATCACACCACACAATAAGAGATTAAGGGAATAACAATAACAACACAATGATTTATATTGGTTCACCCCAACAGTTTATGGACTACTTCTGCTCAGATGCGGGTTCCACTATAATTAGAGATTGAATAAAAGCACTCAAATATCTCACCCTGATATTCACCATCTAGAGGTCCCAACAAAAGTCTTCTAGCTTTTAAGTGTTATAACACACTATATTTAGGTACAGAAATGAAAGACTCACAAGAATGATCAAGATCTAATTAAATATGTCGTTCTTAATCGACCCTAATGCCTTTGCCAATACCTCAATCCTCTGCATCGAAACTGCCACAAAACTGCTTTGAAATCGACTCCAAATGGCTCTAATTTCGACTGGCTAACCCTAAAACCCGCATATTTATAAATCGATACAGCGTCATGGGTCCATAGCATGGGGACCGTCCGCACATGCACATTAAGGCAGCGCCGCGACGCCGTCCATAGCATTGTGGTGCTGCCTCCTTGGCCTTCCTAGGCCTGCAACATTGTTGGAAACGTTGGTAAGCCCTCACTAAAATTCAATCTAAATCTCACCAACTTTGAAGAGAAGAAATTTGTTCTCTTATGAAACTCAAGAACACACAAGAGAAGATCAATATTGTTCTCTTTTCTTTCTTGATTGAAATGCTACAATTTGCTTATTCTTTTTTTGGTTGCAAATGAAGGAAGTGATCTCTTTATATAACATTCAAGAGACACCTCTAAAAGACACAAAATAAAAATGGATACATGTATACACACCGTTCATGTATCTCAATACATTAGCTTACATGTATCTAACAATTCATGTATCTAGGAAGTAGGAATTCATGTATGTGTATGAAGAATTAATTTACCAGCTTAAATTCTTACATCCCCTAAGCTAGACTTCCATAACTCCAAGCTTAAATTTAGAAATAATTTTCTGGAATCGTAATCAGAATTCTTTTGATGTTGTTTACTAAAACTGTCTGGAATTAGAATCGGAATCAGATATATGACAATTACTAATATACTCTTTCTCATTTTTATATTATTGTGCTGATCTTTTTTAAATTACAATAATAATAAATTTTAATTTAATTTATTACTATATTATTGATAGTAAATATTTCTTATTATAAAAATTTATCTAATATTAATACGTAATGAATAATAAAATAGAATTACATCAAATAAAATATTTTTATTAGAACAACAAAACTTTAATAAAACATATTATTAAGTTTTATTATTCTAATATTTAAAAGTAATAATATCTATTTAAAAAATTTATTGATATTAATTAATAATTAATATTATATAATAAAATCACATCAACTAATAAAAATTGGAGTATTAATGGAGAAGAAATTATAAAAGTATAAAAAAACTAATTAAAAATTATATGGATTTAATCCATAGATGAGAGAGAAAAGATAAAAGTGGTACATTAATTATAATATATATGTGAGGTCGACAGAATAAGGAATGAGAATGAGATTGAGGGGTTGTAGGAGTGTAATGGGATTACACTTTTTCATTAAAGTTTGAGGTGGATCTCACCATTTGATTACATTCCTACAATTTGGTAAACACCATCAAAGGGAATTAAAGTTTTCATTAGGATTCATCAATTACGATTGCGGGTAAGTAAACGGGACATTAGTTCAGTATCATATAGTAGCATGGATCGTAGCTAAACAGATTTAGCTTAAAAGAAAAGAAATATAAAAGATAAAAAATAAAAAATAAAAAGCTAGCGCATTAATAGATTATTAAAATAAAAAAGAAGCAGAGTTTGAAGGTGTAGTCTGTTGGAGTTTTATATATATGTATATGTGTGTATATATATATATTAGAGTGTATTATTTGTTTTTCAAATTCAATCTCTTCTTTTTTTAAGTACAACCTGTGAGATTTCTAAAAAAAAATAATGATTTTTAAAAAAATAATGACAAAAATAATGTAGCTTAGACTAAAGAATAGAACAGTGAAATAGCAGTCTCGTTTAAAGCGATTCAATAAATGTGATTTCTCCCAAATCGCATCTAATGGTTGCGATTCAATCTCTACTTTGATCTTTAATTATTATCATTAAAGATTTAATGACTTAAATTAAATCTAATTTTGTATCACTTTAATTTTATGTAGATTTTTTTATCTTTGAATTATACTCTATCACATCTCACGTCTCATATTTCATATTTCATATTACCTCATGGTTGATCAATTCAGAATTTTATTATTGGTTCGACATTATTTTTATCAATTTTATTTTAGCCGGTCTAAATATCAAACTTACAATAATTCAACTCCTCGTTTAATATTTATATAGTTTTAAATGGAAATTACATACTTTGAAGTTTGAATATAACCAAGCGAAACCACCCACTTGCGTGTCTGAGCATTATAAAAATGACAGTCTGTGGAAAAAGGCAGCCACATGCTTGTTTTTCTTTTTTCTAAGAACCTTTTTCGCTGTGGCTGCTGTGACAAATAAGACACGTTCAATTATTGATCTCTTCTTGAAAAATATCCTGTGGGAGTTTGATTCTTCTTCAATATTGGCGTTCTTTTGGGAAAGTGATTGAGGAGCAGAGATGGCTGAATTCCTGTGGACTTTTGCTGTGCAAGAAGTGCTGAAGAAGGTACTGAAGCTTGCAGCTGAGCAAATTGGTGTGGCATGGGCCTTGGATAAGGAGCTTTCCAAATTGAGGAAGCGGTTACTCAAGGCTGAAACCATTTTAGGTGATATTAACAGAAGAAAATTATGCCATGAATCTGTCAGGCTGTGGGTGGAGGATCTTCAACATCTTGTTTATCAAGCCGACGATCTGTTGGACGATCTTGTTTATGAAGATCTTAGACAAAAAGTTGAGATGGAAAAGATAAATAAGGTGCGCAATTTCTTGTCACCTTCCAATAATCCTTTTCTGTTCCGTTTCAAGATGGCCAAAAGAATGAAGGCCATTAGTGAAACTTTGTATGAACATTACTGCGAGGCTAGTGTTTTAGGATTCGTTGGTGAGGAATCCACAGAAACAACATATAAGAATATTCTCAGGCAGATTCGAGAGACAACTTCAATTCTTAATTTTAAAGTTATAGGAAGGGAAATTGAAGTTCTGAAGATAATGAAACTTGTGATTGACTCAAGCCATGAACATCGTATGTCGATCATACCCATCGTGGGTATGGGTGGGCTTGGAAAAACAACTTTGGCAAAGATGGTCTTCAATCATGAGTTGATTAAAGAACATTTTGATAAAACTATATGGGTATGTGTTTCTAAACCTTTTATTATTGTAAATATTTTGGAAGGGATCTTTCAGAGTCTCACAAATACTTCTAGTGGCTTGAACTACAAGGAGACCTTATTTCACAGGCTTCAAAAGGAGATGCAAGGTAAAAAATACTTTCTTGTTCTGGATGATGTTTGGAATGAAGAAGTTGCTCTATGGGATGAGTTAAGGGATTGTCTAAATGAGATTGCTGAAAAATCTGGAAATAGTATAATTGTAACTACTAGAAGTACAGTAGTTGCAACTATCATGCAGACAGTTCCCAGTCATCGTCTAAGAAAATTATCAGATGATGAATGTTGGTCCTTGTTCAAAGAGAGTGCAAATGCAAATGGACTATTAATGAATCCAGAGTTGGAGAACATTCGAGAAGTGGTTGTCAAAAGAATTGGTGGAATACCACTAGTTGCAAAAGTTTTAGGAGGGACAGCGAAATTTGAAGGTAATTATGAGAGATGGGTGACTACAGTTGAAAGTATAGTAAGAAATATTTTAAATGATGAGAAAGACTTTGTTTTATCCACATTAAAATTAAGTGTGGATTCTCTACCATTGCTCTCATTGAAGCAATGTTTTGCATTTTGTTCAAATTTTCCAAAAGACTGTGAATTTGTTAAAGAAAACTTAATTCAAATGTGGATAGCACAAGGATTTATTCAACTAGAAGAAGGAGACAATGTAGTATTGGAGGAGAATATAGGAGAAGGTTACTTCAACTTCTTGTTGTCTCGCTCCTTATTCCAAGATGTATCTAAGGATATCGATGGGACAATTACTCACTTTAAGATGCATGATCTAATACATGATGTTGCTTGTATTGTTTCAAATCAAAAGTTGGAATTAGATCCTCGTAATTGGAGTGAAAAAGGTGTAAGAGCATTACGCACATTAGTTATCAATAACGGGGCGATAATTCATAATAAGTTGGAGGATTCTGTTTATTTGCGAGTTTTAGTATTAAATTCAGACTTTATTAAAAACTTACCAGATTCAATTGGTATGTTAAAGCATTTGAGGTATCTTGACATTATAGGTTCCCGCATACGGAGGCTTCCAGAATCTATTACTATGCTTTATAATTTGCAGATACTAAAACTTAGAACAAGGATAGATCTTCCAAAGAATTTGAGAAAATTGGTCAGCCTGAGACATTTGCCATTCTTCTACATTCACATGGAGAAAATGCCTTTACATGTGAGTCAATTGATTCATCTTCAAACATTACCTCTATACATAGTAGGTTTTGAGAAGGGTCGTAAAATTGAAGAACTTGGACCTCTAAACCACCTTAAAGGATCATTGCGACTCTTAAATCTCGAGCGAGTGAAAAGTAAAGAGGAAGCCATAGCTGCAAAGTTGATCGAGAAAAATAACTTATGTGAACTAACCCTTCATTGGAATTCTTCCTCTTGTGGAGAAGAAGGTTATAACAACCGCAATGACTCGGAAGTATTGGAAGGACTTCAACCACACAGAAATCTTCAATCATTATCTATTTTTCACTTTGGCGGACACGCTTTGCCTAATGTTGTTTTTGTTGAAAATTTGGTTGCAATAGTTCTACAAGAATGTAACAAATGTGAAATGCTTCCAATGCTTGGCCAATTACCAAACCTGGAAGAACTCAGAGTTTCTTTTATGGGGAGTGTGAGAATTATAGGGAGTGAGTTCTATGGAAATAACTCCAACTCAAGGGAACAAATATTCTTTCCCAAGTTGAGGCAACTTTCCTTCAGTCACATGGAAAAGCTAGAGCAGTGGGAAGAGTTATCAAATGGTATTAATTTTCCTCATCTTGAAACCTTATCTATGTTCTATTGCTCCAAATTAACGAGTGTTCCAGATCATGAATTTGTATCACTTCGAACTCTAAGAATTGTGGGATGTGAAGAACTGTCGAAATTGCCAAGTAAACTAGAATGTTGCAACTTCATGAAGATTTCTGGTTGTCCCAAATTGAGGCTGAATATGCATAATATGTGCAATTTGAATGAATTAGAGATTAATGGACCAATGGAAGAGTACGACTTCAGTTTCCTCATGCACCAATCTTCAGTTACAAATATTTTCCTGACTGATAGCTTGAGAAATGCAACCCAACTTCCTCAACAACTTCAGCATCTCACAACCTTGAAATCTTTAGCTATAGAATACTTTAATGGTGTTGAAGCTCTACCGGAATGGTTGGAAAAGCTTGCAAATTTAGAAACAATGGGCGTTTTTGAGTGCAAGAATTTGAAACGATTGCCTTCGCAACAAGCCATGCTACGTCTCACCAAATTGAAGCATCTGCGTGTTCGTGGATGTCCACTGCTACCACTCGGCCAAGGCGATCTAGAGCGGGCCAAACTTTCCCATCTTCCCATCACAGTTGACAATTGAGGTTCGTTTTTAGGCTTGATTGTCATTATGTTTTTCTTTTTGGATAAGTAAATTAGACTAATTAGTTAAAATTTTAGGCCCTCTGAAGTGGAAACGAGAGTTTGTTAGGTTGGTTGGCATCCCTGTTAATTGGTAACCATTCTATTTTTTTGTTTTAGAAAATTTGGCTGGTTTGCTCAAAATTCATTGGTTAGAAAACATATTTGGACTCTTAACCAAAGTTTTAAAATAATGACAAGTTCTTGAAAACTATTTTTTTTTTAATTTGGTTTAGATTTTGAAAACGTAAAATTCATTGGTTAGAAAACATATTTGGACTCTTAACCAAAGTTTTAAAATAATGACAAGTTCTTGAAAACTATTTTTTTTTTTAATTTGGTTTAGATTTTGAAAACGTTTTCGAAAGGTGGATACAAATCAAAGAAACACGTGAATAAAAATAGTGTTTACAAACTTTATTTTCAAAAATAGAAAAAGAACAATAAAATAGTTATCTAAACTGAAAACCTTGAAAAGAGTTATTTATTCATTTGTTTAGCTCATTGTTTGTTATTGAGGTTTTTGTTTGTAGAATTCAAGAAGATGCAGATGCGCCAGGAAATGCTAAAGTGGTGTGCCAAAGATGACAGATCTGCAACAGAAAAGGATTCCTTTCCAACAAAATGAAATGCTGAATTTTCTATTGCAAAATTCAGACATTGAAGAATCTATTTTCTCTGAGTCTATTTTATTGCAACCGTAGATTACAGTTGTTGGAAAAGAATTCCTGTTATCTGTTCATAATCTCATGGTTGGAGATATAAGTCAATTTCTGTTAAGCTATGCTCGCTTTGACTACGTTGATTTTTTTTTAATTGACGTTCACTCAACTTTGATATTGATGGATAAGTGTTTATTCCTTCCAACTAATCTAAAGGCTAATAAGTAGATATTTAACATGTTTGGTTTTTTAATGTACAAGTTGATTACTAATATCCAATAAATTATGTAATTCTTTCATTTTTCTCCAAAAAGAAAAAGATCATATTTTATAAATTTAACTTTGAACTAAAAAACTACCACTCTCTATTTATTAACTAAACCCACCTCGATTAATAAACCACTATAAATATCATTTACTGCTAATGCTCATATTTTACTGTTAAACTATACTCATATTTTAGGTAAGAGATAGATGTCATTTATTGCTAAACTATGCTCATATAAGTCACATTGGCATATTGTTCATCGAAATTACTTTAGCACTTAGACATCGTGTTTCTTTCTCATGTTATTAAACATTTACAATAAATTTTTTAGCACATATATTCATACTTTTTTAGTACACATACGTGGGGATGGGGATTAAGGAAATGAGTACCTATCTTCAGTTCGCTATGCATCCATAATTTTATGATTCAGGATTCAAGTAACATACATTAATTAATTATTGGAAGGGTGCCTCGATTAATGAATAATGCCAAATTTGATCACAATAATTTCTACAGAGTAATAATTTAATGGTAAGACATGGCTCTTCGAAGAAAACGTGAGCTAGAAGCCTACTTTAAGAATATCTTCAGGTGCAAATGCTTTGTTCAGATATCAATTTCCAGTACT